AAAGCTAGCTATAGAATGAAAGTCTTCTTGAGAGGGTTTGGGAAGGGGTAGGTAAGGGGAATGATTGAGGAGTCAAATATAATATAAAATCTTTGTATGCCCAGTGGTATATGTTCTCCCTTCCTGAAATCTAGTGGGAATCAACATGGTAGTAGAAATAATCAAATATTAGTAAACATACTTCTGGGGTACACCATCTCAGTGTGTTAGCGTTCACTAAGCTGTGAGATCTTTGACAGCTGGCATATTAAGTTCTGTACAACCTGGTTTATCCTGTCTTCTTACCCTCCACCCCCACCCCCCAGCCATATTCCTTTGGGTTATCCAAACATTTTTACCGAGAGGCTTGTTTATATGTAAGAGAAAATCCCAGTAGACATAACAAATCATAAGAAATTACCTGTTTTTTCTTGCTTATGTAAGATGAAGGTCCTCAGCCTCTTATGAAGTTGGAGAGTTGCTTGATGTGCTGGGTTCTGGTCTTTTCCCTGCTTCCAGCTAGCTATGAAGTCTTTCAGTCTTATATCCCTCATCTAAAGACAGACTAAATTATTTCTTCTAGCTGTGATATTCTATGGTTCTGATCAAATAGAAATAACACATTTAAAAGTGTTTTGTAAATACTCTTTATGATACTCAAGATTGTACTCCACTGCAAAAACGGTAACCTAAGACAATACCAACAAATGTATTCATTGTAGCTGGTTGTCTTTTCTCAGCATCACTTTTCCCATATTCATTTCGAAAACCTGAAGTGAAGTTCAACTACAAATTACCCTATATTTTGCGAAGCAGGGTGAAAAGGTCTTTGTTTTGCATTTAAATCCAGTTCTTTATTTTCTATTCAAACTGGTGCTTACTTTTCCATGACCAAAGGAAAGAAAAGTTCCTGCAGTCTGCAGTATATCTGTTTGACCTCACAGAGATGTCTTCACGCGTTTACCTAGCAGGATCACCAGAGGCTCTGGCACACTTGCAGTCCCTGGCCCAACACTGAAGTCCTGCTGGAATCTGTGCTCCGGGCGCTGTGCCGGGTAGAGAGGGAAGTGGGAGGTAAGAGCTCTTCACCCTTCACCACCTTCTCCACCCAGCATGGCCAGCACACTTTGGTCTACGGCACATCTCCAAGTATAGAGTGGTTTTTGAATGCTGTTATTTTTCACCTTGGGGATGGGGCCACCCAGATTTGGACTATTTGGGGTACGTGATTTTTTTTATCAGAGTAAGAACTGTTACAAGTAAATGTGTCTTTTATAGTTATACTGAATTTTTAGACTGAATTTTTGTGCTGCTTTTATTCCTCCTTTAATTGACGGAAACATAAAAGCACATTTCCAATTATATTTTTTCCATTTTTTATTGTGTTAAAATATACATAACATAAAATTTACCATTTTGATTATTTTTAAGTGTATAGTTCAGTAGTACTAAGTACATTCACATCATTATACATCACCACCATTCATCTCCAGAACTTTTCTCATCTTCCCAAACTGAAACCATACCTATTAAATAATAATTCCCCATTTCCATTCTACTTTCTGTCTTTATAAATTTGACTACTTTAGGTACTTCATATAAGTGGAATCATACTGTATTTGTCCTTTTGAGTCAATCATTTTTATAAGAAAAAAAAAGCAACTGTCATCAGATTTATATGAAATGGAACTTAATTTACATTTGGCTTACTTTCATCAATGTCTAATCATGCAATGCAAGGGAAGTGTGTTACAGTCTCTGCCCTCTAAGAACAGAAAATTGTACCTTAAACAAACAAAGCTATTTATACTTTTACTGTTTTATGCTAATTTCACATTCCATTTTGAGACCAATTTGTATTTAGTGTGGAGATGATTTTGTTAAATATGATTTAGAGATGGCATAATTTAAAAATGACCAAGGATTTGTTTGGGAATAGAAGGAGCTTAGGAGAATGAAAAAATTGACTTTGATGTTATAGTGTATGGTGGGCTGTTGGTATTACGGTGCATATAGAAAGACCACTGGCTTTGGATTCAGAAGACCTGTTTTGGAGTTCTAGTTCTGCTACTTCCTAGCAGTGTGATCTTGATGAAGACTCTCCACCTCCCTTGGCCTCAGTTACTTATCTGTAAGTTGCTAGTGGACCTGGAATATTTTAAGTTTCTTCTAGCTTCATCGTTTTAAGAATTAAGATTGCAGTATGTGAAAATAGGGTTGAGTATTAGTTTCTGACCTATCTTGTTATGAAAAAACAATTTCTGATGATATAAAATTCAACAATATAGTGTAAATTTAAAATGAAGCAAAAGAAGACAGATATAGACAGCAGAGTGAGTATATGGCATAATTTTGGTTTTAAGCTTTCTAACAGCTGTTTTATGCAAAGAGAACTTTTCATCCACACAATCAAAATGTCCATGAGATAAAAATAAGCCAGTTGGGTAGGAGAAGTACCAGTGGAGTTGTCTCTAATAGTATGAGGTTTGGGAACCATCTCTGGGCCTGACAAACAGTAAAGCTGTGGTAAGGATTAATGCCTGTTTTTTGAAGCTTATCCAGAACATTTGAAGTCCTCTTACCTTTACTCAGAGAACATCCCAGTGTTGGCTAAGAGCTTCAGGAAATTGTTTTGACTTTGTTCTAAGGAACAAGAGAATGGATGACCAAGGCCCGCTGTTTTTATTCTGTGTAGACTCACCAGAAGAGTTTTAGCTTGAAAATATTGTAAGATGAATAACCATATCCTAACTTCAGTAAAGCAGCTGTAGAAGTGTTGCCTCTAAGTACTGCTACTTCCCCATCCAGCCTCAAAGGTAACCTTTTTGCAAAGTGCATATAGGGTGGCTTGTGTGAATTTGTTATAAACCAGTTAAAAGTTGGGATGTCTACCAGAGCAAAAGAAAACTAAAATACAGCCGTGTTTTATTCTGCTAGAGATTGTTCTACCAGAAGACCTGTCCCACTGGCTTTGTTTTCATGCTAGTACTGTAGGGCAGGTTCTATATGAACATTAATAACTGAGGAGCCTGGGTTGGGCTTTTACAGTTTGGCCCATAGCCAATTCCTGCCTAGAGTCAAAGATCAAGGAAAAGTGAATAAAAGAAGCAAATAATCTGGCATGATTTGGGGGTAGGTGGGGCTACCCTACTTGAAGGTAGAATAAATGGGAAAAGTTACATCTGGGCCCTGAATAGATAAAATCATAGCTATAGCAAAGATTCTTAACCTGGGTCTTCAGAACTCCAAAGATAAAACTGGGTTCAGTATGTTGGTTTCCTTTGTAATTCTCTGAGTTTTATTTTATGCATTTTTAAATACTCTGAGAAGAGGTCCATAGGTTTCATCGGACTGCCAGAGGGATCTATGATACCAAAAAAAAAAAAAAGACTCAAAGCCCCTATATGTTGAGTTAAAGCAAAGAGGTTAATCTTTGGAGCGTGCCCTTTAGTATAGTCCCTGAACAGTGCTTGGATGCAAGAAGTCTTACCCAGATTTTTTTCTTCGGCTTAAGTTTTTTAATCGGCAGTGGGCAGAGTAGTTTTCCTTATTTTTCTGGTAATTCTCCCAAGTTGGTTTCTCTTCAAGGAATCAGAAAGACTATTAAATGAATCCAGTTTTAACAGCTGCAAATGTATTCTTCAGTGTATTTCAAGCTCATATGGCTCTCTAGTATCAATATTGCTAGTAGTAGCCTAAGTGTGAATGTGTATTTTTGGCAAGGAGCAGATATTCATTTTAATTGACACTTTCTTTTATATACTAAATCTTGGATGCCCAGAGCTTTCCTCACTAGTAGTTGTAAATGCTAAATCTATACTTGACTTCACCACCTCCTGTCAAGATAAATACAAGCTTTGTTTCCCCCCAAAGGAGTTCAGGGAATAATTTAATTGTTGGCCTGTTTGGGCAGATGTTGTTTTCAGCCAGGCATCTCATGGACCCAACTGCGAAGATTTTCGGTGCCTAAAGCAAAATCAGCTGCCTTTTTTGTTCTCCTGAAACATGTAGTGGTTGAAACAAGGATTTTAGGATTGCTCACTTATTCTAAATTCTGTGATAGAGAAGTGGCAGCAATAAAATCATTAATACTCCAAGTGGGAGTGTGTTCTGTCCTCCAAGTTTATTCAGAACGTGTCTTGTATAGCTGATAAAGTTACTTACAGGGATAAGTATCCCTATGCTTACAGAGATATAGGGAACACAGTCTTTTTGGCAGTTTGGGAGCAGAGGGATAATCTGTGCTTAATAAAAATCATTTTTGGGAATCCCCTGGAGGTCCATTGGTTAGGACTCTGAGCTTTCACTGCCGAGGGCCGGGGTTCAATCCCTGGTCGGAGAACTAAGATCCTGCAAACGGTGTGAGCGACCAAAAAAAAAAAAAAGCCTTTCTGGATGTGTACCTTAGAAACTAAGAAACTCACATCTTCTATCTGGTGATTCAGGTCTCTGAGCTAAGGCACATAAAGGTCTGTTAGTAAAAAGGGGTGGTAGGTTTAGTGAGGTTCTGTTTTTAATTAGTTTTTTTGCAGACTGCAGGGAAGGTTTGCTTTTTTGTTTGGGATAATTCATCTAAAAACCTGGTGTTGAATTTCATAGATGGGAGCTTTTATATAGGATTTCTTTCTGTCACTAACCACACAGCTTTTATGTGCCTTCCCCTTCTTCAGTTATGTTTGTGATCATTAGAATAACCCTGTGAAGTAGTATAGAGAAGTTATCTTCATTTTATAGATGAGGAACTCAAGGCTCAGAGAAATGAAATATTTACATTTTTGTAGTAAGTTGCAGAACCAGTACTGGAACCTGGGTCTTCTGACTCCTGGCCTTGCATTCTTTAAACTGTACTAGCTATCCCACTTTTAAAAGAACATATGAGACACAATTGCAATCATACCTACTCCATCTCCAAGGGAGAATGGATGTATTCTTGTCATGGTATATTGACCTAAAATTTTCTGCTTGAAATTACCCAGATTCTGAACCTGTTTATAGAACGTATACTTGAGGAATGGTGAGAATTAGAAGAGTCCACAGTCCTTGAGGTTTTCTTTGATGATAATATCTGTAACTGCATCAAATACAAATTTGACATTCTGGGTGTCTGTGGCACAGGTCATGTGACTGTAGATTTCTTTGACATCTTTTCTCATGTTGAGGTCAAGGAATTGACTCTTGATATAATTCCCTGCATCCTCGTAAGAGTTGTTCCCTGGTTTTCCAGAAAAATAGTGAAGAAGTGGGATAAATTAACCCTTCTTAGTTGCTCACTTTTTAAGTGACTCACTTGATTCTCGAAATGTTGTATTAGACAGCTGCAGTTGGGGGCCTATTTTTAGAGGGAGGGCCCTCTCCTTTATTGCACTCCAGTGTTTCTCACTTGAGTTGAGCAAAGAAATTGAGGAGAGAGGTGTCTCTATGTCTCCACCCTTGGTTTCTGGCAGTTACCATCTGAACAAGTCGGTGGGTCTCCTGAATCTAATGTCTGCTCTATTCTGGAGACATCTGAATTTAAACCTCTAACTGAATGCTCAACTTTCTCGGGTTAGACATCCAAATATCACTTGGACATTATAAAGCTCATAAGAGGAACTGAATATTAAAGGGATAAGGGATCATCAACTTGGCAAAGTAGAGGAGTTTCACTTACTACTCCTTAAAGACAAGTTCCTTTATGTCTCCTTGGTATAGGAAATGAGGCAGCCACCTGTCATTACTATGAAAGAATCGCCTCCAGCCCCTGGCACTTACCATCATACTCTGGAAAACAAATGCTGAGATGGACTTTCTTGATTTTTTCCTCAAAGAGGTCCTTCTTGTTGAGAAAGAGGACAATGGAAGTAGCCGCAAAGAACTTGTGGTTGCATATACTGTTGAACAGGTGCAGTGACTCATGCATACGATTCTATTAAGAGGAAACACCATCAGAGATATCAGGTTGGGCTTATGGGATATCTGTCTACTTCCTGTTCTTGCTCCCCTTGAAGAAACCAGTGTTCCAAATGTAAAAGGAAAGATGGGGAACAGCTTTTCTCTTTTTTAGTGTGGTAGAGTAGAGCCAAAGAGATCTGACTTCCTTCTAATCCTCTTTATATCACAACTGTATGATTTTGGGGAAAGTCCTGAGCTTTTCTGAGTCTCAGTTTCCCTATCAGGATTATTATGAAGGTTAGATGAGATCATGTATGTATAGTGTCCATGATAGTAGGTGGTGTATAGGTGTACAGTAAATGTTATGCAGATCTTTGGCAACCAGGGCACAGCTTAGGATTTTGATATCCTTAAGGGCTGCTGATTCAGGGTTGAAACTGGGCCCAAGTTAACATGTCCACATACATCTCCAGGATGATTTTGATAGGCTTCTGTTATAAAGTCCAAGATCTCAGTTCAGGCAGGAACATAATAGGGATTATTTGGCCCTTGTGCCAAGTGGTAAGGGCTAAAGAATTTCCCAGTGCCACAGCACAAGCACTTCTGCCTTATCTTCTTCTCTGATTGCCACTTTCAATGAGTGAGAAGTAGTGCTGTAATCTGCAGAGTCCAGAGGTTACCTAGTGCCCCAAACCAGCCTATTGTTCGGGAGTAGACCTTTAGGGTCTTGAAGTGTGCTATTAGCTGACTTGGGCTCAATCTTTTCACCTAATAAAACTAGTTAGTAGCCTTTTCTCATTGCTAATACTCCTATAAAAACCCTTTAAGGCCTTCTAGACTTCAAGGTTAAAGATGGAAGAGATCTTGGAAAATGAATGGCCCTCTAAGACATTTTGGCTAGAAGATATTCAGAGTGCTCTAATGTGAACCTGAACTACTAAGGAGAAGGGAGAAGAACTGGAGCAGGGAATAGAAGGATAGAAGCTTTGTCTTCTATCAGTAAACTGTGGGCTTCCGTTTACAGAGCAGATGCATGTGTAAAATTGGCGTTTTCCAGTTTTTCCATCGGTGGCCTTTGACATGCCCTGTCTTAAACTTGGAAGGTACCTGGGTGGGCTGACACTGTTCCTGCAGAGCTCCTGTCTTGTAAAACTCCACAGGCTCAAGAGAACCACCCTCAGGTAGTTCTCCAGCTGCCAATTTAAGTGGCATGTGAGAAAACTGGTTTGCCAGTCTCTCTGTAGTCCTGTTGACACTGAGTATATATTTAGGCTTCCAAGTGAGGTTAGTATGCAACCCCTCTATCATGTTGCATGTTGCATACACATCGTACGTTGTTCTTTCTGCTCTATCATTTTCACCTCCTATCCTTTACTACCATAGGCAGCCTGGGAGACTACTAAGTAACTCCTTTGCATTGCGAAGTTAATGATCACTTATCCCTTTAATACTCAGTTTCTCTTATGAGATTTTTGATGTCCCAAGTAATACTTGGATGTCTAATTGGAGACCAAGCTCTCAGTAAATCTGGAGCTCTAAAGTGCTAACCTAGAACTTGCAGAAGAAGAGGTTTTCTTAGAATTATTTGCTTGAGACATTGGTCTGCTAGAAGACTGCTAGACTATTAGTGTTAGCTGAAATCACCCAAGTTGGGGTAATGGAGTGACACAAAGTTTAGAGGAAAGGTCACAGGGGAATTATCTATCAAAGCTGCTTGGTGCAAAGGTCACTCACCACTTCGTCATCTTCCACCAGCACCATATCATAGGCACTGAGGGCTGCACAGAAAATGATGCAGGTGACTCCCTCAAAGCAGTGGATCCACTTCTTTCTCTCTGATCTCTGCCCTCCCACATCAAACATCCTGAGAGAAGAAACACCTGTTTTCAAACGTATACCTAATGTATGACCCACATGCACTTGGTGTTTACCCCACAGAGGTGGCAACTTTGGGGCCAGTTAGCAGTAAGATGGGAAGTGGAAAGGAAAGGGGGAGAAGTAGGAGGAAGTCAAACTGGGCTTTTGTGAAAGCCAAGAAGCATACCTGTGTCCCTTTTTGGGTATCTGACATGCTCCCAGGGAACCGTGTACTCACCTGAAGTTCAAGTCTTTGACAGAAAACTTGGTCTCAATGATGCCTGTGGTTTTGACTCTGGATCGTAGCACATCTTGCTCATTAGGGAGGTAGTCAGGGGCTGTAATTCGGTCTAATTGATTCAGGTAGCTGGAAAAAAGTGATTGGCATTGATAATATTAAATTTTCCACAGCCAAAGTCAAGAAAGGTGAAGGGTTTTACCCAAAGGCATATAGCTAACTTAGTGATAGAACCAGCCTAGAATTCATATTGTTAAATATAGGAGTCTTTCCTTCAAACCCTCTTGTGTCCTTACGAAAGGAAGTGTGGGATGGGCTGAGGGACAAGCCCATTTGGGGCAGAGGTTCTGTCCCATTTAAGTCAAGTCAGATAACTTTTCCTTGTGTTTCACCTGACTACAAGGTTTTCTAGACCCTTGAATGAGACTTGGTGGTTTAAATGGGTGCCAAAATTCCATCAAGAAGCAGGAGTAGATTAAAAGAGATTTTAGAAATATATGAGATGTGAACCAGTGCAGTGCATGGACCTTTATATCCTGAATCAAGTTGAAGGGAAAACATTTGAGATAATTGGGGAAAATTGAATGAACACTGACTTGGATATTTGATGACATTAAGGAATTATTAAGTATTTAGATGTGATGATTATGTTGTGATTCTTTTTTTTTTTAAAGAATCTTTTATTTTTTAGAGATAACATAGTGAAATTTTTAGGATGAAATGATATATCTGGAGTTCACTTCAAAATATTCCAGTGGGGAATGGAGATAAAATGAAACAAGAGTGGCCATCGGTTGGTAACAGTTGAAGCCAGGTGATTGATTGTATTATTCTGCTTTTGTATTTGTTTGATAGTTACCATTAAAAAGTAAAAAAAAAAGGCAGATGTGAAGTGAGAGGACTGAGAGAAAGAGGGAGGGCAAATTAAGTATATGCCAGACATTTTCACATTTAAATTCTCATTTAACCTCATAAACCTTCAAGTTTCATATCCCATTTTACAGATGAAGGAAAAATCCAGAAGAGTTAAATAACTTGTCCGGGACAAGAGGCATTGTGGTATATTGTAAAAAAACATTCAACTTTGTGGACAAATAGACCTGGATTTCAATCCAGCCTCTGCCATTTATCTATATGACTTTGGGCAAGTTAATTTTCTTCTCTGAACCTCAGGTTTTCCATCTATAAATAGGACTAATAAAAAATACTATCTACCATAAAGGCATATTAATTGAAAAGGTGTACCTAATGCACTGAGCATTGCCTAGGCCTGAGTGAGTGAGCACTCCAGGGATAGTAAATGATAACTTTATTATAAGGTTAGGTGATAAAACGGGGGCTAAACCCAGGTCTGTTTGCCTCTGAAGCTCATGCCCATCTATGATATCATGCTGTTTGAGGTAGGATTGATAAACTCTGCATACCTTATCTTTTGGGGACCAACTTTGCATAGCTGGTACTCTCTAATCCCTGACCAACTTTCTTTGGTTTGCCCTGGCAGTTTGTGTCCTGTGCCCTGGCACCTTGACATAAGATGCTGTGGGTGAAGGAGATTTTCATTTTAGGCTAGTGGCTTAAGTACAGCCTGTGTTGCCAGCTAGAAATTTCAGCCCTGAGAGGGCCATGATGAATCATGCCTCCTAGGAGAATGCGTGGCAGAACTGCAGGGCTGTATTAGTGTTCATGATTCTGAAAGGAGAGGCTACGTGTTTGATTTAAGAAGGCAGGGGCTGAGGGCTGTTAAACAGAGCACCTCTGTTTTGAATTTTGAGTCTTCAGCTTTGTAGGCTGCAGTGAACCAGTGTAAAGCAATACAGAGTGGTGGGAACTGTGGCAAATGTCCCAATGTAAAGGCATTAAATTCAAAGCATAGTAAAACACTGCCCAAGCCTAATAAGACAGGCATGCAGCCTGAATTCAGTCCTTGGGTCTCCAGCTGTCAGTGCCTAAAATTTTCAGCTGGCTCTGATTTCTCCTAGAAGGTTGCTGACGCCTCATCCCACCCCCTCCCCAGTCAGAGTCTTACTAGGATGCCGAGTCATTGAGCTGGTACTCTGCAGCTCTGTCAAAGCAGGCTTGCACCCCACTATCCTTCCACAACTTCTTGATGACCTCCACCAGCTCGGGAGGCATAGTGCCCTCCTCAATGGAGTCAGCCAGGTTGTTGAGCTGTCGCCCATCATCCTGTAAGGCAGAAACCAGGATGAGAATTACATGGGAGTAATGGCTTTCCAGGAGGCTTTTGGGAATTCTGCTGAAAGTAAAGCATTTTGCATTGCAACCAAAGCCTAAGGTGGAGATGGTGTCCAGCAAAGATTCTAAAATAAACACTGATTAATTTTTGAGGGTGCTTCTGAGATGCAGAGGGTGGCCAATATATCCAGTCCTGGGATATCTAGTGGATAACAGAGGTCCCAGGGGCTTCCTCTGTGGTGTTTCCATCTTCCATCCTTAGTCCAAATGTGAGTGTCCTGCCACAAAATGTGGGTGCTCTGCTGCAGGGAGATTGGAAGTTTAAAGACCAGATTGATCATGAAATGGACAAGATGATAGACAGGAACCTCTCACCTTTGTTTTTTCAATGATTCAAATCTAGGAAAAGGACAATAACTGGAACTAGGAATTTGGCTTATAAAAGTTCCACAGCCAGGGCAAAGAACCTGAGGGGAACAATTTAAATGGTAAAATAAGACCAAAAGGCAGAGGAAGCTGAGAGCAGATTTTTTTTTTAAATCAACATTTATTATAAAGGTAGGAATTGCATGCTTTGCTAGGACTGAAGTAAAAAGATTTAAAGCTCAGCAAATGGGATTTTAGCTACATAAACTTTTTTATGACCCATGTTTCCTCATAGCTCGGCCACTGGCCTGTTCTCCTCATTAGCCTTTCCTCCCACCCTTAACCACATAGCGTTAACCACGTACCACACAGCTTGCTTCAGCAAAGTCAATGCCCAGCGTGGGCATAGCCCGGATGATAGCCAGGACGGATTGTAGCACATTCCCATAGATGATGGCCTTGTACTCCAGGCATTCTTCTGGTGAATAGCCATCCTGATGAATGATCCTGCAAGGAGGAGACACACAGCCCTTCGTTGGACCTGAGTAACCAGACCTAAGGGATTGGGACTCTGGGAGGATTTAAAGGGTCATAAAAACCCAATCTCTCTATTCTTACTGCTGTCCCGAAGTGGAGAGTGAGGGACACGGGGCATGCAGATGAGGGACATTGGGAATAAGATCCTTTATATCCTTTACACCTGGGTTCCTTAAGAACCCAGATAAAGAGCCCTTTATCCTCCATGCTTCCACTGGCTCTACTGACGTCTTCACCCTACCTCAGTCCTTTGGGGCTTTGTTCCTACTCACTTCATCTGTTTGACGATAGTGCTCTTTCCTGACTCCCCAGCACCTGCAGGGAGAAATGCTTATGCTTCAGATTTCCACCGGCTCTCCCCAACCCTCCAGTAGATGGCCTGTGAGAAGTCTAAGCCACTGCTCGCTTGGGAGCCTTGTTAGGGGAGAACACATAGGGATGATTACTGCCCCAATTTCTGCCAGCTTTGAGCTCAGGCCATTTGATCTGGAATTAGAGGAGAGTTTCTCAACCTCTGCATTATTGACACTTTGGGCTGGATGGTTCTTTATGTGGAGGGCTGTCCTGTGCATTGTAGGGTGTTTAGCAGCACTCCTGGCAGAGGCCAATAGCACTCCAGTCTTCCAGCTGTGACGACCAAAAATGTTCCCGACATTTCCAAGTGTCTTGGGGTGGGGGTGGAGATGTACAAGATCTCGTTGAGAACCACTGATAGATTCAGGGGAACTCCTTTAACACATTTGTACTCTATTTTTACTCAGGAGAGTGATCTTGGGGTGAGATTGGAGAAAGCTGGATCACCTCACTGAAATACTATTTTTTCGTTATCTTACTGTTTCCATTATTGACTAAAATGTTCTTAGATCCTCATTCACACCCCACTCTCCCTCTATCAAAGACCCGCATACCCTTCAGCTCTCTCCCCCACTCTATACTATCCCTGATGCCTTAAACCAACCCCCCCCCCTCCACTTATCCTGTGCTTGGTCCCTCTAAGCTTCTTACCCTGAATATAGAAGAAAGCTGCTTAGGCTTAAAAGATCTCTCAGGGGCCTTGCCGTCTCTTTCCCCTCTGTAGCCTCCTGGGCTCCTTGGAGTCTGCTTACAGAGATGTGCTCTTTAGTGTGTCCTTAGGGCCCTGCCACAGATCGGCCGAGGGAAAGGAGGTGCCTTAGTTTGGGGCTCTAGTTCCCAGGTTTGGAAACCCAGCCCAGCCAGCCAGTCTTCTGCTATAAAGATCCTACCTGCTCCAGCTTGCCTACCTCTGTACTACCATTGGGGTTTCTTCCTAAGCCAGGTGTCCCAAACTCTATTGTTTTGGCTCTGTTTACAGCCATGATCAATTTCTGACCGCCTGAGGTGCTTTTCTTTTTTCAGCACAAACCTGTGATCTGCTTAGGAGCTCATCAAGCTGCTGAGCCTCCCATCTGGCAGGGGCTTTAGATAAGGCAGCTGCTGAATAGAAAGCCAGGAAAGGACTTCTCTACAGACTCCATTCGTCCCCACTCAGGGCTCCCCACTTCTAATATTTTTACAAATTTTTTTACTGAAAGCAAGGGGAAGGAACCAGTATACTTGCTAAGAACCATTAGGCCGATCCTTGGCACTACATGACACTGATTATATGGTAGGACTTCTGAGTCCACTGTCCTCTTCTGAGTCCTTGACTCAGAGTTTCTGTTTGTAGCTTCAGTAAGTGTCTGCAAGCCCAGAGTTCATGATATTTGCTGAGTTGTTAGGTGTTAGGTTTGGTTAAATTTGGAGATGGGTGGGTGCATCCTGGCCCTCACACACTATTCCTGGTTCAAGGAAGAGCAGAACAGTTCCAGAGTAACTTTGGCATTCTGCATCTCATTGGGGTGGCTGTGCTCAGCCCTAGAGCTCCTGATCCCCTATCCTGAGACTGGATGGGGAGAGGAAAAATGACCTTCCATCCCTCCTCCCCACACAGTGGGCTAGAACCCACCTACCATCCAGGATAAGCAGGAAGGAGCAGTACCTTCTCCTTCTCTGGCCCATCTTCCCATCTCGCTCACCCAGCAATAGCAGCTTGACGGTCTTGGCTTCCTTGTCAGCATCCTCCTGCAGCTTCTTTTCTAGCTCTTTGGACCTCTTGGCCAGTTCTTTGTCCTCAGCACTGGCTCCACTCCCCATCTTTCTGCCGTCTCCTCCTTGGTGGCTTCCTCTGGCCCTTAAGCTTCTCCTCTAGGGTTTCCTATCTGAGAGATGGAAGATAAGGAAAAAGTAAATTGGGATCATGTATCAGTTTCTTAGTCCTCCTAAAAAGCCAGCCTGTAGGGAGCTGGGTGAGGGAGTGGGCTCTATATTCTTGTACCCTGCCTGTCTTGCCTGAGGCTACGTACCCCAGCCAGAGACCTACTTAGTCTAGGGATTGTAGCCTTTATATCTAGCAATGTGATGGGTTGAGCCAATTAAGAGCTCAATATGACAAAGGGCAAAGACCTAGGGAAATGATGTGCTGGATTCTGACACAGGAGGATAGGATGCAGTTGCTGGAACTCTCTGGAATAAGATAATGGTTGCCCCATCCTTTTGAGGGACTTATCCCCTAAAAGTCTCTTCCTTCTTAGATTCACTTGCATCTTAGAGCTAGAGATTAGAGACACAAACAGAGGAAGCTTTCCCCACGTTGAGACTCCAGATTACACAGCTTCAAGGCACCAACGCACACTCTTCCATCATAGCAGGCCGGTCCTGGCAAGGAATCTTTGTTTGGGGTTTACCCCTTTTTGGAAAGATTAGAAATGTTTTCTCCAGCTCCTCCAGTGGCTGCTGCACCAGGAAGCTATTAGCGTTGTTCCTTTATGTTGGCTCATCTCTTTATACGTACTCCTGTTATTAGCAATCACTTCATTATTGTCTGTTTTACAGATGGGTTTCCTCCAGACTGAATTCCTCCCCCCGAAGGTCAGGTACCAAATCTGATTCATCTTTGAATCCTTCAGACCTTGTGGTTTATTAGTGGATCCTCAATGAAGTTTTGATGAGTGAGGGAAAGAAGGAAAAAGGGTATGTGGTAGAGAGAACGGGGCTGCTTACCCACTAAAGCCACCTGGGACCTAACTTGACTTGGCAAGTGAACTTTGCTGGTATTCAGTGTAGAGGGTTTGTGCTGCCTCACATAACAGTGCTTCCTTGGGAAATTAGACTCTAGCCTCTGGCTCCTCAAAGGTCAGGGCAGCCCTTCCTCTGGCTCTCGTCGCAGCTGCCCCTTCCCAGGGAGAAATGAGTGTGCAGCCTACAAACTGCCTCACAGACATATCAAAGACTCTCTCCACTGGTCATACTTGTCTATGCCAATTATTTCAGTTTACTTAAATGAGTTGCTGTGGAAGCTCCTCAGAGGGACATACTTTAGAATGTTGCTACTGAAAATGTGGTGAAAGGCCCAGCACAGATTACCTGGGAGCTTCTTATAAGTGCAGAATCTTAGGCCTTAACACAGACCTTCTGATTCGGAACTTGCATTTTAACAGGATCACAGGTGACTCTAAGGATACTAAAGATTGGAAAGCTCTGCCCTAGGGAGTACTAGAGAACTGTTTTTTCCTCAAACTGGCCAAATCATCAGAATTACCTGGGATGCTTGTTGCTATATTTCATCAAACTTTAGATGGCACTGAATGGAAGATCATTCTGATTTCAAAGAGGTTAATATATGTGTGTTTTTAAAAGAGTGTGTTTTAGAATCAATAAGTTCCTGTAGTAGTGCCAATTCTAGAGCCTGAGAAACTGTATTCTAAACTAATACAGTTGGAAAAACCCTGATCTAGACTAGTGGTTCTCAGCTTTTGGTGTATATTGGAATTTACCCAGAGAACTTAAAAAAAGAAAAAAATACTGATTTAACTGGTCTGGAGTGCAGTCCAGGCATGAAGAGTTTAAAATTTCCAGGTGATTCTAATGCGCAGCCAATGCAGAGAAACACTGAGCTCCAAGTATTTAACTTGCTCTTTCCTTTTAGAGTGGAATTGCGCAGCAGTGGCCAGGTAGACTGAGAAAGTGGGAGGTAGAACCTAGGTCTCCCATCTACCAGGTACCCTGAGCTATCCCTGATCACCTTCCTCCTACCCACTGCCTCTCGCCTGCATATCTGGGTATCTGGCTGAGAAGCCCTGGGCCTGGAGCCCAGACTCTCAGGGCTGATGGAGAAGTAGGCAGCCGCCAAGGTGCCTTCCATGGTGATCATCTTTTCCCAATCAAAAATTGGCAGGTGCTTATTGACTTAAGGGAAAACAGGAGAGTCTTTGAAATTGTGACTGTCTTGGAATCTTGGCTATAAAGTTTCAGTAATGATACCTCACCAGCCCTGCCTAACCTACCCACAATATTGGTAACTTATACCTAGGCCAGAGCTGCGCTGCAGCCTGCACTGTTCAGAGCAAGGAACTGCCAGGAACTGTGCTAGACAGTTTACGTGGCTCATCTCAGTTAATTCTCACACTGACTTCAAGGTAAGTGCTCTTGTCCCCAAATTACAGACCAGATAACTGAGACTTGAGGGTTAAGTAACTTTTATTCAAGGTCATATAGCTTAGTAAACAAGCCAGGCAATCTTTCTTTCCACTACCCCACAAAAGCAGCCCGAGAAAGAATGTTGGGCAAAAAAAGACGGGCAAATGCATGAGCTCAGTAACAGCAGCACTTGCATTGTTAAAGGAGCCACTGACTTGTTTCACAAGTGGGGAAAATGTTTGAGCTTGTTCCTTTTTTACCTACCACCTCAGCAAACTTCTGTGCTGCTTCTCCTTGTTTCCTAGCTTGCTGGGCTCCCAATTCCCACTACTAAGCTGACTATGGGAACTCCTGGCCCTCACCTGCTCTCTAATTGCACAGACCTGCCTACTAGGCATGGACCATCCTGATGCCTCCTGCCTCCTGTCTTAAGCTCCTGTGCCTTTCTTGTGGCTCTTCTCCTTTATTATCCCATTTGGGTTCAGTGTCCTGGTAGAGTAGGTGCTATTCCCTCCCATTTTAGAGGTGAGTGAATTGAAGCACACAGAAAGGCTATCCACATGTTACTAAACAAGTTAGTATCAGAATCAGCTAGAGCTCATGCGTCCTAGTCCACAGCCCGTATAACCCCGCAAAATTTTTTAGCTTCTTTAGCAACAGACTTTATTGTTGAATAGTTACAATACTTTGAATGAAAGAAAAAAATCACTGTTTTCCAACTAATTTAATCCTGCTTCCTGAGTTAAGGGGAAGTCTTAGGATCTGTCTTATACCCAGTGGTAGGGATTGTGTGTAAAGCCTTGTCCCAGCTGGAGTTGGGGGGTGGGCATGAAGAAAGAGGAACTCCCTTCAGGGCCTTCCAGTCCAAAGGAAGATTTGGTGTAAATGCACAGAGAAACAATTTGGTTAAAGGAGCACTGTGCTAATGCTGGAGAATTCAGAGCTGTTTAAAACCTAGCCTCTACCCCTGGTAGAAAAGACAATTACACATCTCACTGTCAGGTTGATAAATTCTCTAGTAGAAGAAGGGAGGGAAAAATTGTAAAATGAACAGACTTTCAAAAGAGAAGCAGAACAACAATAGGAGGAGACATTTGGAGGAGAGGAAAGAGCATGAGAAAAAGCATGGAGACATGAGATACAAAGTGTGCTCAGAGAAGACTGGGGAGTTTGATATGACTGGACTGGAGTAAAAGAGTGTGGAAAGTGCATGGAGGGGAGGGCTGGGAGACGAGAACAGGAAAGGAAAATTGGGGCTAGCCAGTGAAGGGCCTTGAATGACAAAGGGTTTGGCTAAAACCCATTTAAGACTTATAAGCAAGTATGGTTGGATACAGCTGCATGGTGCTATAAACAATGCGGGGTGACTGGGGTGGGGGACTGGCTCCTGGGAGAAGCTGAGAAAAAGAGCTGAACAGCTTGATTCTAGAAGGATCTAGGCATAATGTTTGGTTTAGGAAACTCATGGCCAATGATCTTTTTGAGGCTGCAGGTATTCTCTCCCAAGTCTAATATCTGCTGAAAGTGGTTTGACCTTGGTAGGAGGCTGACATCACAGGTGAGCATCAGGCGAGAAGCTAAGAGAAGCAGTTCTTCAGAGAATTAAGGAGTGCATTGTCAGTGGGGGCCTAAGGTTCAGGGAGGGCCATTCCATGAACCATCTGGGATACAGGCTAGGCAATGATGAAGCTGGTTTCAAGCTAGGGAAGATCCCAGAGGCTCAAAGACAACATTAAGTCCCCGATATGAAAACAGCTGGAGGTGGGAGAGGATGACTCACTCCTTCATTTCCCAAACTGTTCTACATAGACAATGAAACCCCACTAAGATTCTTGCTGATGTTGTATAGGTGGGGAGATAGCGGCTTAGCTGTAATCACGGCAGACTTCCTAGCAGGGACAGCATACTGAAAGTCTAGAAATAGGGGAGGGTTACAGGGTGAAGGGTGTGTTGTAGATGGGATGAGGGAGGAGCATGAAGGGACTAGTGAACTGGTTTTCCTAGGTAGGGTGGAGGGCCCGAATTGCCACCTATGGGCTGGTTAGGTAGGTAAACAGGTAGGTAGGTCTGGATTAAGGGGGAATCCTAAAAAGACCTGGCCCAATGCAAGATAGCACCCTTTAAAGTTATGTCAAATTTTGTATTGTATCAGAATATAGATGACCTTCTACGTGGTTGCCTGGGACTTGATTTTTAATTTTGAGATTTATTTTATTATTCAATGTTGAGAGCCCAACAGCCTCAAAATTCCTAAAGGCCCCAAGACTAATTTAGTCCGGGGTTAAGACATAGGAGAGTCTTAACTAGGTGGGATGTGGAGGCTATTACAGATTTTTATAGACTTTTGTTGCTTTCCGTTTCCTTGATTATAAAAATCATGGATATGCATTGTAGACAGTTTTTAAAATGCAAATAAGTATAAAGAGGAAAAGAAATATAAGCCATAATTCCACCACTCACCGATAATCATTTGTTACACTTTTTGATGTGTTTGTTTTCTATGCATATATGTCACATAATTAGGGTCATACTGTATGTACAGATTTGTGCATCCATTTTTTTCACCTAACTTTACATTGTAAACATTTTCACCTTATTAAGAGATTCTTCAAGAACAATTTTTAATGGTTGTATTTCATTGTATACATATGACATAATTTAAACATTTTCCTATTGTTGGACCTTTAAGTTTCCAACCTTTCTATGTGATAAACATTGCAGTTATGAACAATTTTGTGCATATTTTTCTTGCAGCGCTTTTTAGAAGAACAATTTCCTGGAAGTGGAATTACTGGATCAGATAATACGAACCTTTTTAAGACTCTTGAGTAGACATTGCCAAATGGCTTTCAGAAAGATTGTATCAGTGTTTTTTACGACCACCAGTAGGATATGTGTGTGTCCCATCTCACTACCCCCTTCCCTGCTTTAGGATTTTTTTTTCCTTTAATCTTTGCTAATTTGATGGGTGAACATGGTATCTCCTTGTTCTCTTTTTAGTTTTATTGATTCTTTGTGAGGTGAAGTTTCCCGCCCCACCCCCCCATGTTTACGGAGGCCATGGTTTTTTGAGTTTGTCCAGGATGAAGAGCAGTAAGTAGGCAGGGATCAATGGAGGCAACACCAGGTGCAGGTAGGGAATAGGGTTCAGGGTCCACAATCCAGTCTGGGGAGGAGGGGAGGAAGCAGAGTTCGGGAAGGAATTTGGTTGAGGTGGTGAGAACTGGGAGGAGCTGAACAAACAGCATTAGTACAACTGGGTGTGGGGGCAAAGGGCTCCCGCAAGGTAGAGACACAGGAATAGACTAATAGCTGCTAATACGTTTAATTATGTGCAGTGACGTTATAGGGCCTTTCTCCCACGTTTCCTTTAAGTAGGATTCTCTGCCACTTGGGAGTGGGGGTTCTGGTTGTGTGGGGTATCTGCAGTCCCCAAAATAGCCCAGCACCCCTTCTTTATAGACTGCAAGGTGAATCAACCTCTGAGAGTGTCAACAGGGGACCAAGGCCAAAGCACAGCAATGATATTACTGAACATTAACTGAGTAGTAACTACAAGCCATGCACTTAACTTATATTAGTTCATTTATCCTAACAACTACCATATAAAGTGGGGTCTCTTACACTCATTTTATAGAGGAAATAGAAGCACAGAGAAGTTAACATTCCCAGTGGCAGTCAGGAAGTAGGTGGAGTCTGGAATTGAACCACACTGGCTACAGAGCCTAAGCTCTTGACCAACAAATACAGAAATAAATGTGGGAAGGGGAGTCAGAATTGCAGGACACACCCTGCCTAGCTACGCCTGCCGGGAAGGACTTCTGCTAAAAGAGAACCTTGGCACAATAATAATAGCTATCTTTTATTGGGCACTGGCTTTGTGCCAGGTATCATGCAAAGGTGCCTAACGTTTCATCCTCACAATAACCCCTTTGAGTGAGGTACTGCGATTACCCCATCTCGCTTTACTGGTGAGGAAGCTGACGCACAGTCCTTGCCCAAGACGCTGCGGGGCGGATGCTGAGTGTCGGCTGCCCACGTGGCGCCGGGAAGAGGAAAAAATGGCGGGGGCGGGGCCGGGGCCGACTTGGCGGGGGAGGGCCCGAGCAGGGGCGGGGCCACGGACTTGGCGGGGCCTGGGGCTGCGGAGAAGCGCGTCGGCGCTGGCGAGGTTTCAGTGGGGTTGCACCTGTTGCGTGACTCCACCACAGTCCAGTTACCCGAGTCCGACCCGAATAACCAGAAAGTGTGGAGAGAAGCCCAGACGAGTTCCGGGTCCCGCTCTCTGGGGAGCACGTGGCCTGCCCGCCTCTGGAGTGCGGGGCTGGGGGTCGGGACGCCGGGGTCTACAAGGCCAGTGCAGCGGCCCGGGTCGGCAGGGGTCCGCCTCCCTACAGCCAGCAATTTTGAAAGACTGTCTTACTTCTCCCATATCAGTGCCAGGGCAGGGGCCCTTGGAGCGACTTGCCGGGGTCTGGATCCCAGCCCTTCTCCCGTCCCTAGCGACCGGGCTTCCCGGCTTTGCAGACCCTGGAGAGCAGACTTCCCGGTACCCCTCAGGGCTCGGGCAGCATGGCCTCAGGTGAGTGTGTGCGCGTGTGAAGGAGGGCAGGGTCTCTGGGACAGAGAAGTGCAGTGTCCAGGGTGACAAGAGGGTGGGCACAGCCTGCAGACCTACAGAAGGCGGACAGCTCCTCCCGGGGAGCGCCTGGAGAGCAGAGCCTGAGTGTGGAAAGACAGAAGGCAAAGTCAGAAGCCGCTGGGGTCTCTTGCCCAGACCCCAGAGAAGCCCCTGACTCCTGGCCTCCCTGCCTTCCTAGAGGGTAGCTTCTGTGGACAGTGGAATTTTCCCAAGACAGGCTCCTCCCTACTGGGCTGGGATTCTCAGTTCTACCCCGTCCTCTCCGAGCTGGGCTACCCCTGGGGCCGGGGGTCAGACGAGGAAAAAAATCCAGAGGGGCTGGATTTTCATGGAATCCGCTGGCCTTGAGAGGAAAGTGTTCTGAGCTTGGGGGTGCTTGCACTGGATCCCTCTCTATTACTATTTGTTTTCTGCCTGGCTGGCTGGACCAGTTAGCCTGGACTTTGACCCTTTTGCTCCAGAGCCCTGGCAAGGGGCAAGGGGCAAGGGGCAAGGGGCTCCTGAGGGCTTCGTGGAGTGCTGGGGCTGGCCCTTCTCCATCTTGTTTCCTCACTTCCACCCCCCAGGGGAAGTGAGGAAACAAGTGACACGACCATCCGTGTAACTCCGGCGGACTGAGGAGAGGAAGGGAGGGTTAAAGGGGTAGGGATGGAGGCCCCCCCTCCTGAGGTTGCCTAGACAACATCAGAAATCATGGCCAGGGCCTCTTCCGCCTGCGGGGCCTCTGCTTCCTGCATCAGTCACTCCCGCTGGGGGCGGGGCAGAGGAAGGGGTTGGATGTGGCAGAGCCAGGCCCAGCTGGTGCGGCTCAGACTACCCCCCCGCCGTCTCTGCGGCCGGAGCCATGGCATCCTATTCATCTGGTCCCGGCAAATCCAAGGCCAAATATCCCTTTAAGAAGCGGGCCAGCCTACAGGCTTCCTCTGCAGTACCAGGTGAGTGTGTGCTTCCTGGCCTCAGGCTGGCTCTGCCCCTACCTCTCGCCCAGGCCACTGGTCCCCTCAGGAGGGGGGCTTCTCCTGCACCTTCTCTGCAGTGGTGACCCTTGTCCCCTTCCCAGGGACAGCTGGCTTGGGAGGTGGTGTGGGGAGGGAGGTGGGGTGGAGGGTGACAGGGTTCTGTGTCGGGGATGCTGTCCTCTGTAACGAGGAGTGGGCATGGGTGTGGGTGCAGCAAGAGTGTATTTGCACACGTGTCAGCGTGTGGATGTGCTAAGACTGTTTGCATGTGGAGTGTGTGTGAATGGAGTGGGGGATGTGTGGGACTGACTAGTTTGCAGACTGGCCACACTGCTGGTGTCTGTGCCTTTACCAGGCAGGCTCAGGCTGTCCTCTTGCAGTTAGTTACTCTTTCTAGGATCCTAGATCTTGAACCCCCTTACTGGGGGTCTGATGTTAAGGCATACTTATTGCCGCCCGGCATCCGGGGTCTAGGGGCTCAACTGTATCTATTGTTTGTAGTTTGTTCATTCCTGATCTGTCTTGTGAGCTTCCTCAGAAGTATGGGGTGTCCTTGGGCTGGGCCCGTGCGGGGGCTCAGGCTGGGGCCGCTGCCGGCCTGCGTGTTCTCCTGCACCCTTTGGTTCGGCTCCCACTCCTGTAGCCATCTCTGCACCGTTTGGATCTTGCAGCGTGGTGCAGCTGTGCCCATCGCCCTGAGGGCTCGGCTGTCTGGGTCCGTGCTTGCTGAGGGATAGCTACCTGCCGTCCGCTGCTCCCAGGCCTGTGGCTAAGGGAAGACCACCCCCACTTTGGTGACCAGGTCAAGCCAGTGCCCCCACCCCCGGAGCACCTGTCTGTACTTGTAGCCTGATTTTGCGTGTGCCTACCTCCTGGTTTTCTTATGCTACTGAAGATGCTGGCCTGAGTTCTGTATTGGCCTGAGGGTCTGTGTTCTCTGTGCCCAGGGAACAGGTCTGTGCCTCCAGAGGGTGTGTCCCCTGAGGCTAGATCTGTATACCTTGGGTTGGTCACATGGTGGGAACATCTGATTCTTGGGGGTCAAAGCCTTGGGTACCTCTCTGCCTGCCAGGGCAGCCTTGGCAGTGAGTGAGGGGCTCTGGTCAAGTGGGTAGACAGGTTGACAAGAATCTTGGAGTTGGTGGGAATGGCTAGGGAGTAGCCCCCTCTGGCTTTTGACCACCCCTCCCCACGCCGTGTGTGTGTGTGTGTGTGTGTGTGTGTGTGTGTGTGTGTGTATGTGGGTGTGGGTGTGGTACTGTAGCACAGACTCTGGGAGAAGGGACCAGCAGGCAGCTGGGTCTTCTAGACCTGGCCTCAGGAAGTGTGGAGGTTATTGCCTGTCTGTCCCCTCTAGTGAACCCTGGCAGCCCTGTGTGGTGGCTTGGCAGGCTGGGGGGATGGCTCTGCGTGCCAGAACCTGTCCTGGTCACCCCAGCATTTCTGTGGAGACCCTGGGTCACCCTGCTAGGAGAGGTGGTTGAGATTAGGGCCTTTGACTCAGTTCTGCTGACCCGATACACACCAGCCCTGGAGGTCTGTGGTCAGTCTCTCTGGAGGGGGTTAGAAGTGGGGAGGAGCCGTGTAGGGTCAGGGTTCTTGGGGGAAGCAAGGGCCTTAGGCTTTGTCTTAACACTCTGAGGGCAGAGCTGGTGCCCATCTTCCTTCCGCTTTCTGCTCTGCCCTCTTCCAAGTAAGAGACAGTGTTCCCACCCTGCCAATTCTGTTCTCTTCACACCCTCACTGCTCATTGCCTTGGCCTACGCTGGGCCCAGAAGCTCCCCCTGCCCCCAGTGGGTGGGACTGCATGTGGGGAGTGTTTGGAGGGTCCCAGGAGTTCATAATCACAGATGATGGTACTTTCCAGAACTATCTTGCAGAGCCGTATCTCTGTGCGCCTTATAGCAGCTGTGGCTAGGCAGGGCAGGACCCCTTATCACCCCATTATAGGCAGACTTGAAGCCTCCGGAAGGTAGAGACTTGCCAGTAATTGGGAACAGAGTCTGACTCAAGTCCTCCAAATTCTAGTCCCACTTCTGAACCTCTTCTCCTGGGCAGTCTGTCCCCAACGATAGGCTTGGACAGGGGCTGGAGGTCTAGGGGGCCATGAACCAGTCCCCTGGGCAACAGGGAAGCTCCGTAACTGGTCCTTTCCTGGACCAAGCCTCTACCCCGGCTGCCAGCCAGTTCCTCTCCCCAGCAGGGGCCCTGTCTCTCCCAAGAGACCCCGTAGTCAGGGGCCCAGAGGGCAGTGGTGAGCCAAACAAGGCCATTGGGCAGAGGAAGCTGGCCTGGGTCTGTTGGGTATGGAGGTGAGGAGGGCTGCTCGTCCCCTCCTACTCTTTGGCTAGCCAGGCCCTACACACTATCCCCTAGGGCACTGCATTTTAAGGAGGCTTGTCCCTTCCCTGCCAGCCTGCCCTGCCCATAACAGCCTGCCCTGCTCCACCCCCTTGGGGGCCCCACTTTGGACTGGGCCCTGGCACTGTAGAGGTTAAGGGCCTGTTCAGTTTGGGGGTTCCTCTTATCTCCCAACTCTGATACTCCTTCCCTTGACTTCTTTACTCCCCTGAGCTTCCCCAGTCCCCTGCTTGCCGTCATCCCAGGGTCTCCCCTGCATGCAGCTGCACTTGGTACAGCCCGTGCCGGCCCCTGAGCTGTCCTGGGGGACTGGCTGCAGCTCCACTCAGCAAACAGGCGGGCAAGGGGCACAGGGCTGCTGGCCGGCGCTGCCTGACTGCAGGTAAGGCCCAGGCAGGCACCAGGGCGAGGGGGGGCTAGGTCCTGGATCTGGGGCAGGCACCCCCTCTTCTTTTTGTCCAGCCTTAGGACAGGACTCTGGGGCGTTGGGAAGTGGGCCCAGAGACTTCAAGGCATGCTGCCTGGTAGAGCCTCTAGTCCATCCTGAGCCACAGTGGAGAGGGAAAAGGAGGGTGCTGGAGGGGAGTACCCCCCACGGCTGACTGGGAGAGCTTCCTGCTGGGAGGGTGGGGCTGGGGAGCCCAGGGAGGGTCCTCTGGGGTGGGCTGGGAGCTCAGGCAGCCTCTCTAGACTATCAGCTTCAAGGCCTTTAGTGCCAGCCTCCTGTTGGAAGCTGAGGAATTCTTCCTTCCGTGGAGAGAGACTCTGGCTTCTGATACTCCCTTCCCCAGGGCCTCCGGCCCAGATCCTGGGGCCTCTGAGTGGCGCAGACTGTTTGTGGCAGCTCCCTTTGGAGGGGCAGCCAGCAGTGGGAGGGGCAGGCTGGGGCCAGTCCACATCTTGGCAGCCCTGGGGTCCTGGGGGAGAGGGCAGGCCTCTAGGGAGGAGGTAGGGTTCCTGCTGCCAACCAGGTCCTCCACTTCCTCTCTTCCTCTTCCCTTGAAGGCTGGTCCCCAGGTCAGAGCTGAGTGGCAGCTGTGGCTTCCCCGGGCTTTGTAGGTCTAGGGTATCAGGCGCAGACCCTGGCCCTTGAGAGGGGGATCTGCTGGTCCAGAGGCAGGTCTGATCCTGGACTGGCTGCCCTGGAAGCTGTGCACTTGGCATCGCTGGTGTGGCCTTAATGAGCGCCTGGAGAGAGGGGGGGTGGGGAGTGTGTGTGTGTGTGTGTGTGTGTGTGTATACGTGTGTACATGGACACGTGGGTGCCTGCCTGTAGCAGGTACTCACATGGAGGTTCTCTCATGTCCTGATGGGGTGGCCCCTAGTCCAGGATTCAGATTTTTATTCCTGGGGTGAATGAATCCACTTGTTCTAGGGGCAGACTCGTGGCCCCACCCATGAGCCTGGAATGGGTGAGGGGTCCCCGTGCCAGACTGCAGGTGAGGTCCACATGCGGGCTCACTCCTCAGCCTCTGAGGGGTGACTGGCCTCTCTCCGGGGCTGGCCTGGGGCAGGCAGGGGCCCAGGGCTTCCAGTGCACCCAGGCCCTGCCCTTCACCCTTTGACCCTGCATCACTGTCTCCACAGAGGCTCGGGGTGGGCTGGGGGCCCCTCCGCTGCAGTCTGCCCGATCCCTGCCAGGCCCTGCCCCCTGCCTCAAGCACTTCCCGCTCGACCTGCGCACGTCTATGGATGGCAAATGCAAGGAGATCGCCGAGGTATCGCCTGGCACCGCACCCTGTGTCCCCCCATCACTGCCGCCATGCCTAGTCTTTGCTCCCCTCACCCCTTCTCCACCTCACCTGTCCCTTTACTTCACGCTTGGCTGTGCCCTGATCCCCTAGCCTGTACCAGGTACCCCCAGCTCCTGTGCCCTCACCCCATCCCCAGACTCTGATGGCTAGGCCACACTGACCCTTCCTTCCCTCCCACCAGGAGCTGTTCAGCCGCTCCCTGGCTGAGAGTGAGCTACGCAGCGCCCCATACGAGTTCCCGGAGGAGAGCCCCATCGAGCAGCTGGAGGAGCGGCGGCAGCGCCTGGAGCGGCAGATCAGCCAGGATGTCAAGTAAGCCCCCAGGTTCAGAGCCAGACAGGCCACCTCAGGGGGCAAGCCATGGGGTGGGGGGCACAACCAGGCGGCCCTGGGGTGGGGGGCACAGCCAGGCGGCCCTGGGGTGGGGAGCACAGGAAGCGTGGGGCTGGGGGGAGGGACACAGGACAGTTTGCCCAGCATCCCTCTGTCTCCATCCGGATGCTTTCAGAGCCCCATCTCTCTTCTCTTCCAAGCAGTCCTCCCTCTGGGGCCGCCTGGGGAGGCGGCGCAGCGCACTGGTGTGAAGCATAGGCTTTGGAGTCAGGCTGCTGGGTTCTGGTTCCGTCTTCTACCCACCAGCGTGGCCTGGAACATGTTGCTTAACTTCTGGGTGTGCTTTCTCATCTCTGATGTGGGGCAAGAGCAGCACCCACGGCATAGGGTTCTACATCCCTGTGAGGACCACAGGTGACACCACATGCACGGCACCTAGGACAGTGCAGGCACCTGGGAGCAAGGGCCTCCTCAGCTGCCTGACCTCTCACTCCTCTCACTTCTAGGCTGGAGCCGGACATCCTGCTTCGGGCCAAGCAAGATTTCCTGAAGACAGACAGTGACTCGGACCTCCAGTGAGGAGGGCAGAGGGGTACGGGGGATGCAGGGCTGGGGCCTGTCCCACTGCTGTCTCCAGCCCCTCCCTCGTACCCTCCACTTGTAGGCTCTACAAGGAGCAGCATGACGGGCAGGGCGACCGGGGCCTGTGGGAGCGAGATGTAGTGCTAGAGCGGGAATTTCAGCGGGTCACCATCTCCGGGGAGGAGAAGTGTGGGGTGAGTGTCCCCGTCCCCTGGATCCTGGTGGGCTCCCCGAGTCTGGGCAGCTGGGGGTAGAGGCCAGAGAGGGTGTTTCTCTTTCTTGAAGCTGGAGGGGCAGAGGGTCTGGCTGGAAGCTAGTTGCTGTGCTGAGAGCAGAATGGTCTGAGGGTTTCTGGGCTCAAGGCCCAGGGAAGAGGTGAGGGTGAGTCGGGTCTGGGTCTGGGACTGGGATCAAGGAGAGTGATTCCCCGTCTCCAGGTGCCATTCACAGACCTGCTGGACGCAGCTAAGAGTGTGGTGCGGGCACTCTTCATCCGGGAGAAGTACATGGCCCTGTCGCTGCAGAGCTTCTGCCCCACCACCCGCCGGTACCTGCAGCAGCTGGCCGAGAAGCCTCTGGAGACACGGACCTATGAGCAGGGCCCGGACACCCCTGTGTCCGCTGGTGGGATCCCCCATCCCTGTCCTACTCCAAGTGCCCTGGTATCCCAGGCTCCCTGAGCTTGGTGCCCAAGAACCTCAGCCTGCCTGCTTTTTCCCACACCCGAGTTCATTCCAGCCTCTTGGCATGCGGGGGTGGAGGCAGGGGCAGGAGCTGTCCTGCTGGGGCTTCTGGGCCAGGCAGCAGGTGGCCTGGAAGAGGCCTGGCCCTGACTCCACCCTTCTCACCCCTACAGATGCCCCAGTGCACCCCCCTGCGCTGGAGCAGCACCCGTATGAGCACTGTGAGCCGAGCACCATGCCGGGGGACCTGGGCTTGGGTCTGCGCATGGTGCAGGGCGTGGTTCACGTCTACACCCGCAGGGAACCCGATGAGCAGTAAGAGGGGCGTGGGGCATTCTGGGGGCGAAGCTGTGGCGGGCTGCATCGGCTCGGGAGGGCCCACAGGGCCTGGCTTGCTCTCCTCACTCAAGCTCCCCCTACACGCCAGCTGCTCAGAGGTGGAGCTGCCGTACCCCGACCTGCAGGAATTTGTGGCAGATGTCAATGTGCTGATGGCTCTGATTATCAATGGCCCCATGTGAGTCTGTGCCCGTACCAGACACTCGGCTCCCCTCCCAGCCCGGATTCTTCCAGCCCCAGCCCTGCCCCAGACACCTGTCACCCAGTCTCCCACCCTTTCAGTCACCGAGTCCTAGATTTTCCCGTCATCTGCTGCCCCCTTGGCAGCCTCAGGCCTGCACCTTCCTGCTTCCTCCCTCTGCTCTGCTACCCAGGCCCTCCCAGGTGCTTCCTTGCGGGCCTGAGCCCCTGCCTGCTTCCCCTTCTGCCCAGAAAGTCATTCTGTTACCGTCGGCTGCAGTACCTGAGCTCTAAGTTCCAGATGCACGTGCTGCTCAATGAGATGAAGGAGCTGGCCGCCCAGAAGAAGGTGCCCCACCGAGACTTCTACAACATCCGCAAGGTGGGTCCTCACCCCCAAGCCTGACCCTGCACCTCTGCCCAGCCTCCCCCTCCAGGGCCTGGGTCCCCACCCAGCATCCAGTTTGAAGAGTCCTCTCCCATCCCACCGCCCAGGCTCCGGACTGTCCTGGCCTCCCGTGGACCCAGCAGTCCCCGTTCCCCCCCAGGTGGACACGCACATCCATGCCTCGTCCTGCATGAACCAGAAGCATCTGCTGCGCTTCATCAAACGGGCGATGAAGCGGCACCTGGAGGAGATCGTGCACATGGAGCAGGGTCGCGAGCAGACGCTGCGGGAGGTCTTCGAGAGCATGAATCTCACTGCCTACGACCTGAGTGTGGACACGCTCGACGTGCACGCGGTCCGTCCCAGTGGTAGAGGGGCTGAGGGGCTGAGCCAGTGTGCAGGCCAGGGGTCAGGGGTGACTTGGGCCTGCCCTTCTCCCCCAGGACAGGAACACCTTCCATCGCTTTGACAAGTTCAATGCCAAATATAACCCTATTGGGGAGTCTGTGCTCCGAGAGATCTTCATCAAGACCGACAACAGGGTTTCTGGGAAGTACTTTGCTCACATCATCAAGGTAGGGAGGAGGGGCTGCCAGGGCCCACGTATAGGGAGGGGCAGCGTCGGCCTGCGGCAGCCCTCCCTGACTGGGTAGCTGGGGGCTTGCATAGGTGGGTGGGGAAGGTGGGTGAGAGGCATGAAGGGGTCTGACTGAGCACACCTGGTGGGCACGAAGACAGGGACGGGTGAGAAGCCTGAGGGTGACAGTTGCCTCACACGTCCCAGGAGGTGATGTCGGACCTGGAGGAGAGCAAATACCAGAATGCGGAGCTGCGGCTCTCCATTTACGGGCGCTCAAGGGACGAGTGGGACAAGCTGGCGCACTGGGCCGTCATACACCGTGTACACTCTCCCAACGTGCGCTGGCTCGTGCAGGTGCCCCGCCTCTTGTGAGTGTCCCTTGGAGTGGGAGGGAACGTGGGGGCAGAGGTCAAGAGGCCAGGGCCTCCTCCTGCCCTCCTGGGATGGCTGACCCTCCCCTGTCCCAGCCGAGCCCTTGGAACTGGAGGGACTCCCTGGTCCACTCACGGTCTGTCCCGCCCAGCACACCCAATATGGCTCAAAAATGCTTCTGTGATTCTGCCCTGACCTGCACATACCTGTGTGCACTCGTCTCGCCTGCAGTGACGTGTACCGTACCAAGGGCCAGCTGGCCAACTTCCAGGAGATGCTGGAGAACATCTTTCTGCCACTGTTCGAGGCCACCATCCACCCCGCCAGCCACCCGGAGCTGCATCTCTTCTTGGAGCATGTGAGGGTGTGGCCCAGGGCTGGGTATGGGGGGGGACACTGCCTCAGGCCTGGCTGCGGCTCTGGACCTGACCCCAGTGTCCTGTGCCAGGTGGATGGCTTTGACAGCGTGGATGACGAGTCCAAGCCTGAGAACCACATCTTTAACCTGGAGAGCCCCCTCCCCGAGGCTTGGGTGGAGGAGGACAACCCACCGTATGCCTACTACTTGTACTACACCTTCGTCAACATGGCCATGCTGAACCACCTGCGCAGGTGCCTGCTCCTGGGCTCTGCTGGTGCCGTGTCTCTGCCTCCCCTGCCAGCTCTCAGCCAGCAGGCCTTACTCTGGGCCTGCCCTGGGCTGGGGCCACCAGATCTCTGACCCACCTCTTGGCCCCAGTCTTAGATTGGATGGGTTCTCTGCCCTCGGGGCTCTGTGGGTCAGCCCTCGCTGACCAAGAATCTACCCCTGCCCCCTGGTCCTAGGCCCACAAAGTCACTGGGTGGGGGCTCAGGAGCCCAGGCGAGCCAGGCTTGGGACCCGACGCTGTCTTCACGCCCCCCAGGCAGAGGGGCTTCCACACGTTTGTGCTGAGGCCGCACTGTGGGGAGGCCGGGCCCATCCACCATCTGGTGTCGGCCTTCATGCTGGCTGAGAACATCTCGCATGGGCTGCTGCTGCGCAAGGTCAGGCTCCGCACCCCAGCCTCCCCTCCTCCCAGCCCTTCAAGCCTCTTCAGCAACTGGTCCTCCTCCCCAGCTTGGACCCCAGCCTCCACACTGAGGCCCGAACTTGGATTCTGGCTGTAACCGACCCTCTGCAACTCAGGCCCATCCTGGACTGCCCCCTGTCCCCCACTGTGACCTGTAACCCCCAGAGCCAGGTGTCCTCCCTAGTCTGGAGGCCACCTGACAGGCCTGCCCTCCCTGTTGCCTGCCCAGGCCCCGGTCCTGCAGTACCTGTATTACTTGGCCCAGATTGGCATCGCCATGTCCCCACTCAGCAACAACAGCCTCTTCCTCAGCTACCACCGGAACCCACTACCTGAGTACCTGTCCCGCGGCCTCATGGTCTCACTGTCCACCGACGATCCCCTGCAGTTCCACTTCACCAAGGTCAGCACACGTCGGCAGCCTGGTGGGCGGGTGTCCTGGGACACGAAGGCCACCCGGACAGGGCAGGTCTCGGGGCTGGTGCTGCCCTCTGCTGGTGGAGTGCAGCATGCCTCATGGCAAGTCCATGGGAGGGGCGGGTGGCAGGCCCGGTCCCCCCGCCTGAGGGAACCTGGCCTGTGCAGGAGCCACTGATGGAGGAGTACAGCATCGCCACCCAGGTGTGGAAGCTCAGCTCCTGCGACATGTGTGAGCTGGCACGCAACAGTGTGCTCATGAGTGGCTTCTCCCACAAGGTACTGCACCCCCTTGGCATCCCCTCTCCTCCCCTGCTCTGCATTTTGGGAAGGTCCCAGGGTAGCTGGCCCCTCAGAGCTGGCTGCAGCCCTGTGCACTGTCCTGCCCCTTCAGGTGAAGAGCCACTGGCTGGGACCCAACTATACCAAGGAGGGCCCTGAGGGCAATGACATCCGCCGCACCAATGTGCCGGACATCCGTGTGGGCTACCGCCATGAGACCCTGTGCCAGGAGCTGGCGCTCATCACGCAGGCCGTGCAGAGCGAGATGCTGGAGACTATCCCGGAGGAGGCGGGCATCACCATGAGCCCGGGGCCTCAGTGAGCCCGGCCCAAACAGTGCCCCCGCGTCTTGGCACCTTGACCACGTTCTGTCCTCAGACCCCTCCCGCCCTGTTGTGATCTCTGCATGTGTCTGTTCTTTGTTCTGTCCTGCATGTCTCTACCTGCATCTGTGCCGCCCAGGAGCCGCTTTACCCTTGTCTTGGCTCGGGTGGCACCTGATGGCCCAGGTTTGAGGTCTGCCCTGCTGGTGGACCTGTCCCAGGATCCTCTGAAGGCTGGCTGTCCTGCGGGCATCTGAGTGTCCACAAGAGCCAGGGATGGTTGTGGGGGTCTGGCCCTTGGGGTCCTGGCTTGGGCAAATTTGAGCTTTGGCTGGGGCTTGAGTTTGGGCCTCCGTCTTGCTTATGCGGCTGAGGGGCAGTCAGGTGTGGCCTGTACACGTGTGTTGTGGGCACGGACTGCCAGGGATCTGCGGCAGGTAGAATTGGCTGAGTCACAGCCCTGGCTGCCTGGGCTTGGGCCCCGGAGGTGCTGGACCAGCACCTCTGCCAAGTCACGGCCCAGCAGCTTTCACCGTCCTTCCTCTGGTCCATGTGCTCCCCTGGTGTCAGCTTCCTGTGCCTCTGTGGGAGGGGGCAGCTGCCCTGTGCTGTGTCTGGCGCCATTGCAGCTGGAGGGCCCTGGATCTGCCACCAGCCCTGAGGGCAGTATCCCTGCTGTGGTCCCCAGAGTTTTGACCAGACCTGGATCCCACCTGGTCCCCTGTGTTGTGTTCTGGACCGAGGCCTTTGCTATGAAGTGCAGTGTTTCATACAATCCCATATTTCCTAGTGCATGAGAAATAAAGATTATTTAAGTAATGAGGTAGATGGGGTCTCTGTTGGGAGAGGGAGAGCTGTGGTGGATGGTGGCTGAGGTCGGGTCCAGGAACACTGTGGATGGAGATACAGAAAATTCTGAGGGGAGTGACTGGGCTTGAGTGAGTGTGTTTATGCATGTGGAAACTGACAAAGGCAGCGGGGTGGGAGGAGAGGCCCACTGGGGACCTGTCTGCTGCCCCTAGGCCCTTGTCCAGCCTGCCCCCTCTGAAATGGACACTTGGCCCCAGGTCTCGGGCACATCTCTGTCACATCAGTTTGGGGAGTAGCATCCCCTTTCCACCTTCTACTTCCTCCTCACCTCCAGCCTCTTAGGACACCCTAGTAGATGTGGGAATGTGAGATTACAAGCAAGCCTGAGGCCAGTGGTTCTGAAACTCTGGGGACATCAGGCCCTTCTGGGGAGCTTGTTTAAAACGCTGTTTCCAGGTCCTACCCTCTGCGATTCTGATTCAGTAGGTGGGAGGCGTAGCGCAGAAATCTGCAAGCTCCTGGCAGATTCTCTTGCAAAGGGTTGGAGCAAGCGTGTGCCTTCTGAATCCAGACCTAACCAGCTTGGCTTCAGTCCCATGTTTAATTCATGATTTTTGGAGCACCTCCTTGGGCACAGAGGTTGCTGGACTCTGTTGCCCGTGTAAGGAGGAGAGTAGAATGTGCCCTGTGCCGTGCAGGGTCTTGGGTTGGCGATGGAGAAGCTGTTTGCTGCTGCTGCTGCTGCTGAGTGGGGAGAAAGACGGCTGGTCGCTTCAGACACAATTAGCCCTAGAACAGTGTGAGCCTGCCTAACTGAGGGCCTGGAGAGGGACCAGGAGGCTGGCTGCCTCCCCACTCCTGGGCAGCTCGCTCTGCTCCAGCCCCGCCTCTCTTCCTGCATCTGCCTCTTGCCTAGCCCTCTGGGCAGAAGCTCCCCCGATGCCACTGCCTCCTGAGGGCTACTGGCCAGGCGCACTCCTGGCCAAGGCCCAGGGTCCTTCTGTCTTCAGAAGACATCTCTAGCCAATTTGTTCTAGCCGTTTACACAACGTAGAGCAGAACGTTAGAGCTGGATGCTGAGCAAGAGATTGTACAAGTCTGGCTGGTTTCTGGTTGGGGAAACAGGCCCAGGAGATGCAACTGGCTGGTGGCGGAATCTGGGCTGGAGCCAGGGGAGCTTGGGGTCCAGGGCTCCCCACCTCACGCTGGGCCTGCATCTGCCCAAGGGAGGATGCTTTAACAGGCTGAAGGGAACTTACTTTTCAAGGAGGTGAATGTATTTAATAGTAAAAAAACATGTCGTGTCTTCATCTGTAAGACAAGGAAGGAGGATTAGAAGATCTTTCTAGAAGGCAAGAATTACCTGTCTCATTGGCTAGCACTTAGGACAGCCAAGACTCCGTATTTTCTCATTGAACTTGTCATATAATAGAATCCTTCATTCCATTTTCTCGTCCCTTGTACATTCTTCTCAGTGTTCTGAGGCCTAGCTGTAAGAATATTACCAATTTAAAAAGTTTCTTAACAGCCTCCCCACTGTTTTTTTTTAAACAACTTGCTTCTAGATATTTTGTCTCTCAGAAATTTCTCTTTTAAACGTTTATTGAGAGCAAATAATTTTAAAACAGACCTTAGTACTTTTTCCTAACTGAAAAGAGTAATTTTCATTTAAAAAGTTTGGAAAATATAGAAAAAATGGGAAGAGGAAAAAAGCCCACTCATAATCTACCAGTTTCAACAAATATTTGATCAACTTCTGTCTGAGATACATTTATATGTTTAAAATATATTTTATATATTTACATATTCCTTTCAGTTCTTTTTAAAAAGGCATTTTAAGTTGAGATCATACATGTATAATTTTGTATTTAAAAAATATTATAATGTCCTTCCACATTTCATTAATATTTTTACATTCTTTATAAATTTTAATCACTGTACACTGCCCCATGATGAGCCTCACCATAATGGCTCTTCTTTGTTAAGAATAACTATGGCCTAATGTCGTGGCTACCAGTGTCTGCTTTGGCTCCAGACCACTGGGGTTTGAATTTTGGCTTCACTGCTTACTGGCTGTGTGACCTTGGGCAAGTTACTTCCCCTCTCTGTGCCTCCAGGTCCTCACCAATTTCATAGGGATAATAATAGCACTTTTCTCATGGGTTGATTTTGGATTCACTGAGTCTCGATATAAAGCACTAAGTGCTCAAAAAATATTAAATATTATTATCGTTGCATATAGGGCTTTACAGATTATTCCTAATCTAGATGACCATGAATGAAATGACCAGGTCCAAGATATCTATCTTATTGCTTCTTGATAGAATGAATCAAAGTGTGTCAACTGAAGTTAAAGTCCTTTCCCTGCCTTCTGTCTCACCCACTCCAGTGCAGTCCTTCTACCTCCTTCCCTTTCTTGGAATTATGTCATGCCCCTCCTCGTGGCCTGCTTGGGAGGTGTGTGTGGAAGTCTTTGTGAAGAGGTTGCATCTTCCCTCCTCTCCCTCTTTCCTCGATGGTCGGGATCCAGGGCTTCTGCCTCTTGTGTGGAGAAGTGAGTGGAGTGGATGGCAGAGGGAATTCAAAAAACTGGTCTGCTCTGAAGGGCCCCAGACAGAGTGCAATAAAACAGGCAAATCAACTTGTCTCGGCCAGTCTGCTTTGAATGGGCCCGGCCCTGAGTGACGTCTACACTGGGGGACTGTCCCTTGTCAGTCAAAAAATGCTGTGACTGGGCGGGCTGTGCCAGGCCACATCACACCCTGCCCTGCTTCACCTCCTGGTGCCCCTTCCTGGGGGACTTGAGGGGAGCAGAGGGGCAATTGGCTGTGCCCCCAGATGGAAGGGGCTGGTAAGGCTTGGTTAGGATGACAGTGATCCTGATTTCCAAACCTTACGTGAGAACGTTCGCCCCATCAAAGCATTGCCTCATTCGTAAATGTATGTATATGGAACTCCAATAAAGATTTAAGCATTAAATCACGTTTAATCCAACATTTGGCAAATCATTTTGTTTTCAAAATGAGAATAAAATTACCCAAATAAGGATGCCCTGGACCATCCGGGGTTGGGTGCTCTGGCAGCTGGACCTGCAGGGGCAGGCTGCATGCCTGGAGATGGAGAGGAGCCAGTGTGCTGGCTTCGCGAGCAATCCCGTCCTATCCAGGGGCCAGGGTGGACTTCTAAAGGCCCAGGAAATGCTGGAGACTTGAAAGAAAAACTTTGGGGGCTGAAAAATACGAAAAAGCGTCAAAATTGCTAAATGTTTAATGCCTTCAGAAAGTAACATGTCAACTTTAATATTTGTTAAGTCTGGTATCCATACAAATGTCACTATATTTGAAAACAAATTGTAGGTTGGATTTTTGTCATGAGTTCCAGAATATGCAGGAATGATTGAAGAGAAATCATAGCCAGAAGTAAATTGAAAGAGTTACTCAGAGTCTAGTAATTTCAAAAGCAAATTCATAAAAATCCTTTTACATTTCAAGCAGAGTTATATTTAATGAGGAATGTGGGTGCAGTTTTAATGTTTGTGGCGATGAGGGTGGGGCCTCCGAGAGTCTGATGCAGGGTCTGGAAAGGGCTGAAAGCGCCCTGCCCTGCAGTCCTGCTCTGGGCGGGGATCAGCTCAGCTCTGGACTAGCCTGGCCCCTTTGCCCCCCTGCCTCCCTAATGAGTCTAGGCAGATGCAGGGCCCCTATTACCGCCACAGGCATCTTCTCTAGGTCTGTGCAGGACCACGTGTGACGGGAGTTTGTCTCCGTTTTGCAGATGAGGGACTGACTTGGATTTGAAACCTGAGTGTTCCACCTATTAGCTGGGCAAGTCCCCCCTCCTCCCTGACTTTCTGGGTTTGGGGGTGACAACCCATTCTCAGCCTGTGTTTTCCATGTGGGGTAAATACCTCCCGGGCACCTGGCACTGGGCTGAGCACTTTACAAGTGTGAGTGCATTTCATGTGCCTAAGGACTCTGCATGCTAGCTCTCATCATGATGCTCTGCCTTAGAGAGAAAATTGAGGGTCAGGGAGGTTAAGTAACTTATCCAAGGTGACCCCCCTGGCAAATGGAAGAGCTGGGATTTGAAGCTAGAACTGTCTAGCTGCAAAGTCCTTGTTCCTCCTACTCTATGACGGTCCCTGGGGCGGGAGTGGGGGGGCCTGTGAGTGCTGCATGTCTGGTGGGAGTGGGTCTCTGTAGAATTGGGTGCTCAGGGAAGGGACAGTGCCTGGTTCTGGTGAGCAGATGGACCAGCAGAGGCAAGGCTGGAGGCACAAAGGCTGTGGAGGAGGCTCCTGTAGCATCCCAGGTGCGAGTGGGAGTGGAGAGCTTTTGTGGGGAGGCAGTTAAGACCAGTGGTGAAGAAAGGGGTGGCAAATAAAAGAGAAAGGGGTGGCAGAACTGGCCTCAGTGGCTGGCACAGCTTGGTCAAAGACTGAGTATGTGAATGCCCTGAGGCAGGTGTGTACTCCAGTTGGCCACAAGCCCCATCCCTCCCTGATGCCTTTCACCTGGCCCAATCCACACACTGCCATGGAGGTATCTGACTTTGTGATCCCTGGGTTAAATCACTGTTTCGCGGTACAGCTCTTTCACTTTATTAGCTGTGATCTTGGGCGAATTGTATGAACTCTGAGCTTCAGTCCTCTTACCTATAAGATGGAGACACCAAGGTCTCCTGCACTGGCTGTTGTGGACATTAAATACCATATATAAAGCTCTTAGCAGAGTGATCAGCACATAGAAAACCCTTGGTGCTCATGTGAAACTTATGAAACCTTAATGCCCTTTTTGCTTCCTGTCTCTATCTCCCCATCCACCCCTCCTTCTCCCCAGCAGACCATGGAGTCCGATTCCTGCTGCTGCTTTTTGCTCACATCCCAGAGGCAGCAAAGACATTTACTGGGCGAGAGGCACGTGCTGGGGCAGAAGTGGGGGGAGGAGAGCAGCAGAGAGGAGACCCCTTGGTTGTACTCACTGAGGGCCTCGGTGGGTGAGCATCTTAGCAGAG